ATAGATAGATAGATAGATAGATAGATAGATAGATAGATAGATAGATAGACAGACAGAGAGACATACAGACAGACAGATAGATAGACAGATATAATCACTAAATAAATTAGCGAAAATGCGCTTTTTAAGAGCAGTAGCAGAATACGCACTACTACGAAAGAAACGTAATGCAAACCTAAGGCAAGAACTTCAGCTGCTCTCCCTCTTATCCATGATTATAAACATCGGTAAAACTGGTATGAACATTTCGGGGAATGAAAGGTGAGTGGACCCCGGAGTGTGCAATGAACCACATACCCCATAGGAGGAAAAGACGAGGACGCCCGCACATGAGAAAGGACCCACAGTTTCCTTAGGAGCCGATAGAGTCTGAAGTTCTAAACTGTGAAGATTATGATAACTAATCATCCTGTAATTGGGCATAATATACTCAAAACTATTAAAAACGTCTTCCAGTAAGTGAAGTATAAATAAAAATATATCTCGCTGAGGCTTTAGAAGTCATTTTGTTCAAATAATGTTTAATGTCTTCCTTTCGCAAAATTGCAGGCATTAAGTTATTATGAGTATAAATCTATTTTTTAAAGTAAGCTAAAATTATCGTGTTATAAATAATTACCCTTATTCATTTAAAGCGATTCTTATTTATTACTGTATAGAGCAGTGATAATTATGTGTACCACTTTCTTTGCTGCTCAATAGTGAGATATTTTGCTAAGAGAATTCATTTTTAGTTTTCGTTTAGTATTGAGAAGAAACAATTACATATTTTCGTACAATATAATTAACCGACTGGTGCCCCCAGTGGTGACGCTGAATGTTTTCTTAAAGCTTACGACCTACTTCTAAAATACAACGTTGAAACAGCTCCCACCCTAAGACTTTCCGATAAATTTGTCGGTCTTGAAGTGGCAGAAGGGAGAAGGAATATTGTGTGTGTGTGTGTGTGTAAGAGAAATGTTTAATTTTATCTAGCTCTGCCTCAAAATGAGTTTCATATTATGACATATCTAGAAAGTGTGTGCCTTCTAAATGTTTATTAATCGTTAAAATTTGTACAAAATATAATTCGCAACATAATTGTACCGGCTGAACTCAATAGGGTATCAACTCTGTAAATCATTCTAACCTAAGAGGTACATTACTTCTCCTTTTTGGATATAGTATGATTTTGAACCGATAACAAATTTGTTCATATAAATCATTTTATGGCATAACATCGTTCTGACGAGATAAAACTAAGGGCATTAATAATGACACCACTTTCTGGTCATTAAACTCCGTGGCTGTAGTTCGGAAGCGAACTATACCGACCGAGCGTCCGCCACTTGTCGGCGAAGTTAGTGCCAACTTTAGCGGAGAGAGAGTGTCGCGTGTTCAGCTCAACGTATCCCCACGGCAGTACATTTTCGGTTTTCTAGACTGGTCATGTACATAAATAATATTATTTTCTTCTACCTTAATGGGTGCTTCAGTACCTTCAAATTGCTATATTTTATTGTTGTGACACGATTCATGGACAGCTAAACGGTAACTGCACACTATACGTTGCTATGGCTGGCCTCACTCTTCTCGCTTACTTCCATCCAAATGTGTTTTAAATAAATGAATAAATGGAAGAGATGGGTTTAGATATGTTTCATTGATGTGGTTGTTCATATAAACAGGTTTATACGCTGCTGTGCAACACATCTCAGGCAGCAAAGACATTCTGTAAGTTAAGAGCAACTTACCTGACATCATAGGCAATGGAAGCGGTGAATCCAGACGTGTTAATCCAATCAGGGAACTGAAAGGACAGAACACACATTCATTGACTGGTTTCTTCAAGCCACACACAAAGTAAACACGCTATTTTAAAACCAAAAGCACTGTTATGTGATAAAACAATTCGTGCACAGGCGTCACTCACTATTACGAGCGTAGAAATAAGAATTTGAGAATGATGTCTTAAATTCATCAAAGAAAGAAACCGAATACCGCAGACGTACAATTAAAACACTGAAATTGCTTCTAATTAGATCACAGTGGCATTTATTAAAATTTATTAACGCTAATATTTAACGTAAGTAATTACTATCATGTCAAGTTACGTAAGTGTAATTAATGTTAAACGCTGTCCAATTTAACGACTGCCTGCAAACGCGACGAAGCACCACGCGTGTCATCAGCTTGACAGTTGACTGGCTGGTAGCACGAGGCTTGAGTAAGCCACGCACGCCGTCGGAGCGCTTGCGCAAATATCTAACACACGACGTCGCCAACACTTGTGTGATGCTTTACCCAAGCAAGCAATCAGCCACCCCCGCACCCTTCTCGCGACCCATCAAACGCCCTCTCTCCCATTTTTACAATAGAGACTACAGAAAAAAAAAATAGATCCGGCCCTTGATGCCAACTCTTTCTCACTCACGTGAACACATATCGGCTCGTCATCCACTCCCAGACACTAGCGTAACGAAACTCTTTCATGCAAACGCAACCCCTCTCCCATTGAAATGCGGTTTCTTTCACACTTACCCCACCTTTAACCACGTTGCCAATACAGTTGTCAGTTTCAAATGAATTACTTGGTCACAGCGTATGGTGCTTATAATAGATAGAAAGCTGCCAAAATCTGTCTGAATGCCATGCAAGAATATTTCTTATAACTCTATTGTTATCAAAGAATGTTAGGGTTTCTTTTCATAAAAATTGTGCAAGGTAACCTTCTTTTTCATATTTAAACTTGAAGTTGTACGAGAATGGGAAGGATTGTCGCGCCTCTGTTCGGCGAAATGAATACATAGTTCGTACTTCTTTCAAAAGACAGTTCCCCCATCTATCTGCACCTCACAATACTCAGTGTAGTGTTCCATTAATATAGATGGCACATCCAGACCTGTCAGAGACAGATGGCTCCTATTTAACAACTGACAATCAACACCTTCCCTTATTCACACTTGTGATATACTTTTCCCTTTATCAGTAATTCACAAATCTTGCTGTGTATCTCATTTCTTTTATGTACAGCGCCATTCCAAGCATTGGATATTACACACTGAACTCTGATAATTATGCTACTTTCCATCTATGACAAAAATTATCTTATTAGAAGCTATAAATTTGTATTAATCGAATACCAGACAAAATTTCAGAATCTTAAGTGGAATCGTACTTGATAATCCTTTTTCGTGACCCTAGCAGTGTTGCCAAAGGTTCAAATAATGAATTAAAAGTAAAGGAGGCCACGCGGTCTACAGTATAATACTATTGTGACGTGTTTCATGACAATCGTTACGCACGTTCTAAAGTTATGAAGGACAAATACAAAGTTAGGCGTACATAAAAGAAAGAAGATGTCACAAAGACTGTTTCTTCTTTTAAGCAATAAGGCTACGAGGAACGGTAATGTCTGCAATGCATACAACAATACTGACTCAATTGAGCAAAATGTTTGACGAGCTAATAGTCGCTAAGCTGCTCAAGAAATTATCCCTGCTCTATGAAATCCGATTGCTCATTACTGTGTTCAGAATATCCAGTCAGCGTATCATGTTATAGGTCAAATTCCCTGGGGAGTATTGATGGAAGTTAGAAGAATGCGTTTTGTTGATTCTGGACTCGGAGTCCGGAGTTTTCAAGGATTTCCGTTCGTCAGAAATGACAGACTACATGTTTGAGGATTAAAACAGGCCTGCAACCCCTTCCATTCATAAAGATTCCACAAGTGGAATAATAAGATTACTCCTCAGTAATGTTAATACGACAGAAGCAACTGAATGACATTCGCCATCCATATTCAGTTGGATCTGATATGTACATTTAGAGAATCCACTGAGGCATTTGCTTAATACTTTACGCCATTCTGAGTACAACACTGGAAAATTAATGCTTGTAATCTCAGTCTTCAATCTTCACATGTCTTTCAACAATCTAAATAAGGTCATTCAATCCAATATGGAATAGGAAATATCGTAATGTTTTAGGGGGACGAGAGAAAAAATCATTCACTTAGATTCAACGGTTACCTTGTCGAGACCTTTATGTCTGCATATTATTAAGTTTGATGGCACTTTATTAAGGGTCCTCATGAATACGGCCAAATGAATGATCAGTCCGAAGATACCTTAAGAAGAAAGAAGGAACACACAGTCTATATATACATATATACGTACATAGATATATAAACAACAAAAAAAACTACGTTGCCTGTAGTCCGCAAGCGAACTATACTGACCTAGCGACCGCCGCTTGTCGGCGAAGTTAGTGCCAACTTTTGAGGATAGAGGGTGTCATGTAGTCAGCGCAAGGTACCCCCACGGCCATCAATCTCCGTTTTCTAGACCGGAGCCGCCATTTCCTTGAAATAGATTCTCAATTATCCTCACGAGGCTAAGTGGACTCCGTTCCAGATCCACTATTTCCCAGAAACTCTGGCAGCGCCGGGAATCAAAAACGGAACCCCTGGATCTGTAGGCAGGAACTCTGACCACTAGACCACAGAGGCGGTAGCACATAGATATATCTCCAAATAATTTAATTTCACAACAGAATACGAGACGTCATAATATTTTTTTTTGTTCAAATATATCCAGCAAGGAAACAGATTTTCCTGTACTCCACAGCGTCCAGACTGACTCTGGGGCTCACTCAATCTCCTATATAATGGGTACTGGGGGACTCCATCCCTGATAGTAAAATGACAGGGGAGTGAATTTTACCATTCACATCCGTCTAGTGCTGAGGTCAAGAATGGTGGAGCTACATCTCCACCCCCAAACACGACTTCATGGCATGGTGCTTCGGTAATTAAGCACAGGTACAACTTAGCCTCCATCTTTATTGAGAAATTATGTACCGAACTGTATGAGTTCAACCACGGAACACAAGGGCTTTAACAATGTTCTTTCCTAGATTATCCCTTTCACTTCAATTTTTGAACTGCCGAGCCAGTGTGTATAGCATTAAAGCTCTAAAAGTACGTATATTTGGGAGGTGATGGACTCAAGTCTCGGCCGGTACAACGCATTACCTGACCACGGCTTTTGTTGGCTCTTCTCGTTCCCTCCAGACAGATGCTAGGATAGTACCTCGATTAGGTTATGATAATTACATCTCAAATTCGTTCACCATTCACCAGTCATCCTAGGAACCAGTCGAAGCTATAGCCCTGTCATCTGGGATAATGAGAGAGTTGTAAATAATTCAAGAAATAATTTCTTAAGTAGTTTTTTATTGCTAGTGGGGTGGGACTAAGTTCCTTGTCCTGCGGCCACTTCTGGCCTATTGTACCAGCCCCAGATGATATGTGAGGGTGAGGAGCAATTGGTGGAATGAAGATTGGCAGCGGAAACCGAAATATTAGGAGAAAAACTGCCCCAGCGCCACTTTGTCCACCACAAATCCCACTTGACCAGACCCAGGATCGAACACGGGCCGCCGCCGTGGGAAGCCAGCGACTAACCGCTTGAGCTATGGCGCGGCCTAATTTCTGAAGTAACTGAGCAACATGAACCTAATCTCATAGAAATCATTAAGTTGTCTGTCTAAGCGGTATGACCTAAGCAGTTATTTTACTGTAATTCAAAGAGTTTCAAAACAGTCACCTACATATTCGGCTATTCGATGAATTCTGTATTCCACTGCTGTATTGCATACTCTCCAATCGACTGTCTGTCTCCGTCTCTCTATCCTCTAACTCGGCGTAACTGAAAACATTAAGCAATCTCTCGTAAATTAAGAGCATTTTTTTAATTCGCTTAGCGGGGGTGGAGTCCAGCTGGGTCCACTCGGCACGTCGGCCACTGATTGGCCTATTGTAGTCTGCCCCGGGTGGTTATGATGATGGAAAATTTGGTGGAATGAAGATTGGCAGGGGAAACCGAAGTACTCGAGGAAAACCCACCCCAGCGCCACGTTCTCCATCACAAATCTCACTTGACGAGACACGGGCTCGAATCCGGGCCGCCGAGGTGGGAAGCCAGCAACTAACCGCTTGAGCTATGGCACGGGCGTTACATTACATTTAGTGTATGCAAAAAAGAATGTATTTTTGCTAAATTAAGATCCTCACAGTATCTGGTGCAGTCTGATAAACGTAACCGCCATCTTTGAACCGACTGTCTAGATAATGTGGGACTCTCAACGTCTCACAACCCTATGGGCCTTCACAGCCTGTTACAGGGATGGCTTTACTTTTTACTTTTTACATGAGAGGAAGAAACCTTCTGTGAATTCATGGCCTTGCATTAACATGATATTCCAATCGCGAACTCACCTGACCAATTTGGAAGTAATGGCCTTGTATTAACATGATATTCCAACCCCGAATTCATTTGACCAATTTGGATTATATACGGTACAAAACTACAATTTCGCCTGTAATTTTGTATGAGTGTAAAACTTGATTTCACATATGAAGAGAACATTGACTGAGAGTGTTTGAGAACAAGGTTCTCGTGAGAATACTTGGACCTGCAAGAGCTGAAGCAGCAGGAGAATGGCCAAACCAATGGCAATGAGATGCAGTAGGCATATAGCAAGCATGGGAACCAAGTACATGCAAAGTTTCTGGACAACCCAAAACTAAGAGATCATTAGGAATATCTAGGTACTTTTTTTTCGCTGCCTCTACAGTCCCCCTGGGCCCTGGCTTCTGGTTTTCAGTTTTATGATCATTTTACAGGCGGTAGGACTCTTTGGACGAGTGATCAGCTTGTGGCAAGATCTCTACCTGAACACAGGACAACACAAACACAGAATAAACGCATACACACACCAAACATCCACGCCTTGTGTGGGATTGGA